GGAGGGGGGCGCGGCCCCCGCGCCTCCTCCTCGTCAGCTGGGGCCGAGCCCTCCCTCCTTCGGCGGCCTCGCCTGTCGGAGGCCGGGGAAGCGGCCCCATGGTGCTGCTCAGGGAGGTCGGGACCGTTTGGGGTGGCTCCAACACGATTAAATCCTAAATGCGGGCCAGCACCCCCCGCCTTCTGGTGTTCCCGTCACCCTCAAACTGCACTTACTTGCCACCTGCCGTTCCCTTATTTGACTGGTAACCAAGCAACAGTAGCAGCAATAGTTTATTTATGAAACGGGCAGGTCATACCTTCATTATTTTAATATTCATGCTGGATGTTAAGCCTCGTAGCTTTAAGCACGCACATATAGCTTCCCCTCACTTCCAAGAGAGAGGGGTGCGGTTATTTGCGGGCTGAACACGAAGAGCCAATTACAGTTCTGAACTATAACCGCAGTATTTGCTTGTCATTTACAAATTAATGTATTATTCCAAAATGAGTTGTTTTACAAAGCATGAACTGTTGCGTCATTTCGTTGTCTCTCATTTCAAAGCTTGCATTGTTGTCTTCATCATCTGCTTCATCGCTACCTTCACTAGCACCAAGAAGGCCTGGTAGACACCATGTATATTCTCCTTGAGACAAAAAAAGGAGTAGAAAGAGTCTGAAGAGAAGAAGGATCTGCATAGAAGAACAAATAGAAAGGTGGATGCCCCTTAGAGAAACACGGAGCATGTTCTCACATGCTGAAGTTGCCAGTTTTTTTGCTGGATTTGTGAGTAAACTAAACTTAAAGCAGAGATGTGTTTCATGTTGGCTCTTGCCTTTTTGGTAGTTAAATTTTGACGTATTTGTTTAAGCATGACAAACTTAAATATGGAGGTGATGTCTGCAAGGAATCCCAAGTGAAACAAGACACTAATGGAAACTCAGTGTTAAAAGCTGAAGAGGATGTGTCAGAAACCTCTTCAGCAGTGACTGCTGAAAGGTAACTTCTTGATCTTTTACGTTGTTTTCCATACATTTCCTGAAATAATATTTTCAGGTGTTTATGGATGTCTCTTTAACCTTGCTGCTGTATTTTAGCCAGGATATCCTGCATTCCTGATTCCTGTGACTTTCTTTTTTGCACCATTATAATGTTACCTTCCGGACTGTGGCCCAAGCTACTTGTGGCCAGCCGACTAATTTACGTAGATAGCCTCAGCAACGATCTTTCAGTGCTGTCAGATGGCAAGCCACCAAGATTGCAGAATTCTGAACTGAATGCCTTTGCAAGCAAAAGGTGTGCAGCACGCGTTATGTTAGCAACTCCAGTTGGCTCCAGTGCAGTGCACTTGCCAAAACTTTACGGTTCTGAGAAAGTAATTTATTACACTAACTACTTAAATGTTGAATTCACATTGGTTGATATTTTTTTTCCTTTCAGTAGTCCTTTTTACTCCAGTGCATGCCCAGAAAAAAGAGGAAGTAAAAGCATGAGGTAAGTCTAAAATACCGTCGTCAAAGTAGTGGAGAATTGGTCTGGTCTGTTCTATTTGTTGAGAAAATGAATGGTGCTTTAATTCTGGTTTGGGCTTCAACTCAGTATATTTTTTTCTATAAATAAGGAGAAGACAAGAACCTGTAAAGTCATATGGCACTTAAAATGTGATTGTTGTATGAAAAGACTGCAGTCTTTCACAAATCTGGACCTCCACAGATTTATTTGAAGCTTCAGTGTGTAAAAACTCCAAATTAGAAAACTAATTAGATATGGGAGATTTTGTGTGGCCTTCTTAATAGCCCATATATTAAGTGGAAATATGTAGACTAAATAATACTGGCTTCAGGTAACTGGGTTATATGGCTGTGCTGTCCCAGGTGTTCATTCACCTTATGGACTGTACAGACAATTTGATGATGTAAGGTGTCTGAAAGTACTGAAGGAAGCTGATGCATTCTGGATGTCAAATATATGAGGAAAGGTATTAAAACTCTCAGTGGACACTGGGAGATATTTTTAGCTGAAAAATCCAAACTATTTTTTCAAAATAGTTTTGGTTGTTATGTTCAGGATTTTTAGTTTATGCTCAGTTGCCTTTCTCAAAAGGAATAAGCCAGCTTTATGTAGTTCGCCAGTTTATGTAGTTTAGAAGTTTGAACTCTGTAAATAGGTTTAGACCTAAAAGAAACACCTTTAAAATGTCATTAATTGTGCCAAAATCACTCAATGGATTAAAAGTCTGATTTATTTTTTTTTTTCAGTTTGGTTTGGGTTTTTTTTTTTTTTTTTGAGTTTAGTATTGGCTACAAGTGAAAATCAGTCGTAACTGCAAAGTTCTGCTCCGAAAGTACTGAAAATTTTTACAAAACTGCTAATGTACTTACAGGTAGCAAAAGTAGTTATTTAGAATAGTGCAACTAACTGACAATATACTGCGTATGACTTCATGCATACCTTTTGAAGAGGACTGAATTTTAAATTGCTATCCTTAATTAAATAGCATAAAAGTGTATTTAAATTGTATACCTTAGGTACTTGTACACATTGTCAAAGCTTATAAGGCAGGCATTGCTATTAATATCGCCTATGATAATGTACGGTAGCTTTTGGGAGTGATTATTGAATTGTCAGACAAGCATAATTACTTGCTTTAATTTGGGGGTAATTATAATTAATTATTTCAGAAAATATTATTCTGTTAAATTTCACGTAGGGCATAAGAATAAACTGTAGAAAATACACAGTAATTAAATAATGTAAGAATTGTATATCTGTTATCCACAGAAAAGAAATTTCCCTGGGTAATCCATTCCTACGACATCTGGGGAGATGTCAAAAATCTTGGAAACAATTTGATTCAGGTAGTTCTTCTGTGATGAGTACAGAATAATACATCCTTGTAGCTATCTAAAGTGATATAACAAACTTCTATTACATTAAGCTTGCCTTAATAAATAACTAAAAGGTTAGAATCTTTCAACTTAGATACAATTCACCAGGTGTGGAAAATAATTGTTAATGTCTCCATGGCCACCTTCGCACAATATGCATAATGATCTTTGTTGTCTGCCTCTCAACTACTGTAATTTGTTACAGCTTTGTGGACAAGTCCATTGACTTGAAGGCTATTGATTTAAGTATCATATTTTGCATGAAACCCCCTTACAGTTGGTACTAATTGTCCTCCACTTTGGGAGGATGGAAACAAGTGCACAGAAAAATGGGAGCATTAATTGTAGTGATTTCCCGTGGCCTAAGGTTTTTCTAAATAGGCCACGATGCAGAGCCAGCAGGAAGAGAATTGCATCAGCGCTGCAACCAGGTATCTGGTGTCTACAATGAGAGATGATCTAAAAGATCTAAAAGTGTATTGTATATAAGCTAATCATTTGACATGTAGTAAGTAGTAGATTGTTTGACCGCTATTTAATCATTGCTTAACAAAAACTTTGGTTAACCCCACAATGATGATTCCACTCAGTAATTCTCCTATGACACTGTTACAGTGGTACTGAGGCGTCAGTTACTTCCGGGTTTGCTGCATCAAAATTTAATATTCTAATACAATGTTTTTACTATAATAAATGGCTTCTTAACCTTGTAGGGAATGTGGTGTGGCTTAGTTCATCATGTGGTCAATGAACAGCAGTGGGCTAGTGGAAATGACATCGTTGAGGAGCAGTGCAAACATGGTCCTCAAGTGGATGAAAGAGAAAAGGAATGGAAACAAGCTTCACACTGAAATGTGCTGAAAAAATTTGGTTAAAATCTTTCTGAGAAACGTCCCATACTTTCTACATTTTAGGTGTAATGGACTTCATTTGTGGATATTAGTTTGTCTGGTTTTCTCCAAATTAATTCTCTTCCCTTTTTATTAGAAGTAAATGCAATTAATATGTTGAGAAAAAATTATCTGACATATGCTGAACTATTAATTCTTTTTTCCTGTGTAGTATGAAGTTATGTAACAATTGAAGCTACTTTGATTTTAATACTACAGTAACCTTAAAGAAAAAAGGTTGAATTGATAAAAACTTCTACTTGTGTAGATACCATATCTAATATGGTGAAAGCACTCCTGATATGTTAAATAATGTACAAATTTTCTTTTAAAATCAAGCTGTGTATTTATTTTCATTAAGATCTGCACTTGATCTGGAGGAGTTCCAGCAGCACTTGTATATGTATGCTACCAAGCGGTTTGAGTATACCTACCCTGTCTACAGAGCGAGATGGTTTTTAACAGCAATTGATTACAACATGCAGTTGAATTGGCAAACTCTGCACAATCAAAAGAAACAATTATTCTGTCACCTTATTTTTCCTCTTTTTACATGTAATTTATTTGTTGTAATTTCTCTAGAGGGGAAATAATTGGTTTTAATGCTAGGTACATACTGTCAGTCCAATGTTAGCTAAGACAAAGCTGAGATTTCTTTACATTTACGTATCAGCAAACCCATGTTGGAACGCTTCCCCTACGTAAATAGCTGTATAGCCTACCTCTAGTTTCAGTATTTTACTTACGATCATTAAGGACTGATACAGAGAAGTAACGAATGTGACTATTTTGCTTTCCTTCCTATTGTAGTTCAAGGGGTGACTGGTTTTGTAAATGAGCGTATTTTGTGTTGCATTTAGAATATCTTGAAATGTTTGTGCTTATTGCTAAGTGCCACCTTAGCCTACTTTTGAGAATGCTTTCTCATTTTCTAGAGAAGGACAGAGGCCAGTCTCAAAAGTATGTCCTTGTATGTAAAGAGAATTGATTTTATATATGGAATTCTGTGACTACTTGATATCCTTTTGCGGTATATTTACGTATTTTAACTAATGCTTCTTCACAGCAGTCTTGTGATATAAACAAGCAAGTGAATCAGCAATGGTGGGACTGATCCTTGACTGATTTAAATTAAAAAGCCTTGTATCCTTCATCTGGAGACTGAAGGGATAAGGAGCAAATTCCTTACTGATGTCAATGTGTGTGTAATGGACTGCTAGATAAGGGCTGCAAAAGCAAAGTAAAAAAAGTTAACTGTTTACAGCGATATAGTATGTAATTGAATGGATTTTCTTACTCGTAAAATATTTTTCTCCCACTTCAACTTTGTAATAGATATTGTAGAATATACCATAGAGAATCTGGAAGGTGGAACTCAGTATCTAAGAAAGAGGTGCACTATGTCTATATTGACAACATAGCGGAGGAAATATTTCAGTGCTGTTTGGAGACATGAAATGAGGTCACAGTAGAGCAGCATGCTTCAGGAATACAAAATAATATGTGCTACCTCATCCATTCTGCCTTCTACCACCTCCAAATTTCTGCTTACCACAACTACTAACAATTGTGCTTAGTTCTGAATGAGGGTATAGTTGTTTAACACTTACTTTTGGCACAAGGAGAGGAGGAGGCGATAATCTGTATTAATGGAAACACTACAAGTTGGAAAGCAGATGTTTTAATAAGTTTCCTAATGTTTTCTTAATTTTATATTTGTGTATAATGTTCATACATACACAGGCTGTGTTACCATTCAATTTTGAGGACTATGTTTTTGGAAGTTTGAAACTGTGTTATGATTAAAATGTCCTGGGTTTGGCTGGGGTAGAGTTAATTTTCTTTCTAGTACCTGGCATAGTGCTGTCGTTTGGATTTAGGATGAGAATAATGTTGATAACACCCTGACGTTTTTGTTGTTGCTGAGCAGGGCTTACACAGCATCAAGGCCTTTTTCTGCTTTTCACACCGCCCCACCAGTGAGGACGCTGGGGATGCACAACAAGCTGGGAGGGGACACAGCCAGGACAGCTGACCCCAGCTGACCAGAGGGATATCCCGCACCGTATGACATCATGCTCTGTGTATAAACTCGGGGAAAAGCTGTCCAGGGGTCCACTGCTGAGGAACCAGCTGGGCATCGGTCAGCGGGTGGTGAGCAATTGCATTGCCCTTTCTTTTCTATCCTGTTAAACCCACAAGTTTCACCTTTTTTTTTTTTTTTTTTTGGTTCTCTGCCCCATCCCACTGCAGGAGGTGGTGAGTGAAAGGCTGTGTGGCTGTGTGGTGTTTAGCTGCCTGCTGAGTTAAATCGCAAGTGATATGCACATTCTTTGCATGATAAGTTATTTCTCTTATGTGTTATAAATCAAAGGTGTAATCTTGTGTATGTATTTAAGAGAAACAAAATGCAGCCAATTAAAAGATTTTTGCTGATATCCATTTATCTTAGTATTTTAAAATAACGTTTTCAATTTCAAGTGGTCTTCATTTTCATTTTTGTTCTAGGTTTTTGCAATGTACTTTATTAATGTAACTCTACTGTTATTATAAACTTTGGTACAAACACTATTATACGCAAAAGCTTTGTTATTTGTTACAAATAGAAGTAGATACCAATAGATCAGTAAATGCCCATACCTTATAGGTCCGGTGTTGTGATAACTGCACTGGTCATCTTGGAAGCGTGTATGTGTGTTACTGAATTAAATGCAATCCACTGTCACTCTGAAAGCATGACTGTTGGTGAGTTTTTAGACTGTTTAAGAAAATCTGAATACATTTACAAATCATAAAACTAAATTTAAAACCTTGTTAGGTAGTAGAAAAACTAAGTAAATTTAAATTTTGTAAAAGCTTTACCTTATCTCTTGGTCTAATGTAAAAAATTTCCTAAGGTACTGATTCTGCCTTTTACATTAAACAAACTGAACACAAGGGATGGGTTAGCCTTTCATATATTAGCATATATTATGCTAATATAGCATAGTGGCATATTACTGCAGTATTTAATTATAAAGCTAGAAAAGAAAATAATACAAGGAAATCTGTACTTGCTTGTATAGAGACTGCATGACTGCATCTTTTTTGCTGTATTGAGAATGGCAAAAATTAGCATCATCACTAAGACTGCAGATTCTTGAGTTAGTTGTATTCAGTTTAAGTTTCATTTTAATAGATCAAAAACATAAACAATTTGGGGAAAAAAGTTAACAAAAGTTTGAAATGGTGTAGGAATGTAATCTGTTATTTTGTCTGTCAGTGTTAACAGGTTTTGTACTAAAAGCTCAAGAGTTAAAGAATATCAGCATCCATTTGGGACCTGACTGTAATTGCAAAGAAGGATAATTGGGCGGCTGAATTTGACCATCTGTAAAGGCTGATGGATGTACTGAAACCACACAACAGCTTAAAACCGTCCTCTTGGCAGTTGTAAGTGGGACAAACTATGTATTAACATAGTTAAAACACATCTATGTGTTTTTAAAGCAGCATTCCATTCTGAAAGTGAGCATTCAGTAATAAAACGTAGCATTCTGCTCTCAAGATCTTATAATGAGGTGTGTTTATAGCTTTAGCCCAGCAGTTTTAAGGGGAAAGTAAGTTTTTGCTACTTTTAATGCCAGTTACTACTGCAGTGGGTAGTGCGTGGCGTGCTGAGAAGTGTAGTCCAGGCAGGAGCCTCCTCAGGTCCCACAGGGAGAGTCCCTCACTGTGTCTTATAAAAGGACTTGGCAGATCCGGGCATTTAAGTCGAACTAGTCTCATGTCACTGGTCTTGCACAAGAACTTGCTCACTATATAGGATAAGGTGAAGTCCAGGTGTTTGCAGCTTTAGATCAGTGGGTTTTTTGTTGTTGTTTGATGTTTTTATTTCCAGTGTCTGTGCTCGTCTCCCTGTTACTCTGCAAGATTTTCTTGACCCTCTTTTTCTTTAGCTCTTTGATTTGAACTGACTCCCAGGCCTAAATCCCTGTGTGGGCCTTCTCCTTAGCTCTAATTTTGCAACAACCCGCCACACCACATTTAAGTTTAGCTTCGTGCACTGTGCTTACATAGATACTCGCTACGTGGCAACGC